GTCTTATAGTTTAATTTCATGAAGCAGTTTTATCAAAAAAGTAACTTTTAAGGACATGCACTTCAGAAATAAACTGTCTATCACTAAATCTCCAGCAAAATTACAGTAGTGGCATATGAATACTACGACTGAATTAGCATTTAGCCAAGATAATCAATCGCCTTGCCTTTGCCATCAAGAATAAACAGTCTGATTACGTGGTTCTTGGTGCCATGTTAAGAGTCAAATAGGTTCTCATTCATCTGCCAAACAAATCTCATGACTCAATTATAAACAATATTAAGAGTACACATCCAGGTATTTGAATATGTACATGATATTAAAAATTTAAACTCAAGTGGCTTTCTACAATGAAAGCCTATTGTGCTACAGGTGCTCCTAAAACAGCTCATTCACAGTGCAGGGACAGCTGCAGGAGGCAGTCCAGCTAGCAATGTCCACCATTCCTGACTAACCTTTTTGCCTGCTGTGAGTAACACTGCTCTAGCACGACCCCAATGTACCTCTGTGCTATGCAAGGTGTCAGCCTGTCAGCATTGTTGTCTCTGAGTCATGAGGTGGTGGTTTCAAGCCCAATGTTGGGGCTCTGACCCCTGAGGAGTAGACTCTGCATTAACGTTCCAGTTCATTGGGAGCGATGCAAGGTGCCATCCTTCAGCTGAGACATTAAACTGAGATCCCATCTGTCTGTTCAGGTAGATGTTAAAGATTCCGTAGCACTATTCGAAAAGCATTTGTCCCAGGACAAAACATTTGCCCTGGCAAACAATTGTCCAGGTAAAATTGCTCATTCATTTCATGACTGCTTTACAGACAGTCACTACACTTTGCAGTAAAATTCTATGAAGTGCTTTGAAATGTTTCAACGATGCGATAAGGTGCCATAACAAATGAAAGACACGCTACCCCGTGTCTCAGAGCGCTTAACAGCGGCGGAGCTTGATACTGAGTCGGGGAAAGGTGACCATAGGCACGGTCAAAAGGAAAGGTGTGATCTGAAGACGGGCAAGGAGGAGGCAAGGCAAAGGGCCTGAGGCAGAGAGTTCCATAGTTTTGTGTTTCCATATACAGGAAACTGCTTGTGCAAGTATTTCACAACCAACTGCAAGTCTAAAGTACAGCAACTATTTAAATTAGGTTAATAAATTTTTGTCACCTATGGATCCCACTACTTATTTAACCCCAAACTTTCTTTTTGAGCCCTAATTTTGTTTTATTTACAACAACAACAACTTGGATTTATATAGTGCCCTCCATGCTGGACGGCGTCTCAGAACGTTTTGTTTGCAACTCAGCTGTGGAGCCCAATATTTTATTTAGTATTCAGACCTGCCACAAAGCAATGCTAACTGACAGCATCACCATCCAAGGATGCACACTCCACCTCACTGAGCCAGTGCAGAATCTTGGCTTCTTGTTTGATCCTCAACTGTCCTTTTTACCCCACATCCATGCCATGACCCGCTCTGCCTTCCCCCACCTCTGCAAATCGCCCGGCTCTATCACTGATATTACATCATTGCAGTCCTTCACTGATATTCTACCGTAAAGCACTAGTGGGATGACAAACTTTCAGCTTCATAACATTATTACCCTTTTATCAGGATCAGTTACCTCTATGATGCCCGTTGTTAAAAAAAAAGAACAAATATGTGTGAAGTAAGTTTAAGGCAATAATTCAGTTCAAAAGTTCCACTATTGCTTCACTTTTATGGTTTATGTTCTCATCCCAACTTCTTAGCTGAACCACTACCATTATCTATTTTCTAATATGAAGCACAAGTGTATGCAAAAGATTACCCTTCACAAACATATGAGCAATCCAACTGGTTTCTGCAATTATCTTTGAATCGCATACAGTATGTCACAATCAGACAATATATTCACTACATCTTTATGTAAACAACCAAAGATTTTAAATGGTTAAACTTATTCCTTGTGACTTTATTTTCTTTATCTGTATCCTAGTTGCTCCAATCATATAAAAAAGTCTCTCCAGTCCAAATGTCCAACTTCACACACCCAAAACGTTACCAAGTCTCATTCGGATTCTCAATGACCAATCATTTTTTGGTTTTATCTTAGATTTCCAGAAACGTGTTTTTTTTCATTTTGCCTTCTTTTTATCTTCTCTTATTGTTCTTATTATCTTTATCTTTCAGCACAACAAGGAATGAGTTGCTCATTTCAAATAAGAAACTCATTCCTTGTTGTGCTGAAAAATAAAACCCCCTTGAAGTACATACAAGAATCTGCAAATGTTGATAATTCAAAACAGATCACAAATCAAACCAAATGTATTTAAATATTTTCATGCAGCATATTGTTATCACCACACTGTATAGCATTGTAGTTCCACGACCCTTTTTTCATGTGAAGAGGGCTATATAAATCCAAGTTGCTGTTGTTGTTAATGTAGCCAAAATGAACTGAATACATTTGCCCATAACTTTCAGGGCAGCATCTTTATGGAAAAAGTAGTATTCTCTCCCCACAAAAAAAGCACAGGAGCACTTTTAAAAATCCAAAGGATTTTACGCATTGAAGAAGAAAATGGGGGCACTTTGGGGAAGAGTGATCAATGTTATTTTTCATCACAGATCAAAGTGCTTGACCATGAAAGACTGATCACACTCCGACACCCAAATCAGTATGAGCTGGCTACTAACAGGGCTGGGGAACATAGCAACTCTAAGGAGCGTCTTTTGCTAGTTATCACTTCAAGCACTGTTCCAATTTCTGAGAACCACATTTGATAAAATATGTGGAACAACTGGAAAATGTGCAGAGAAAGGCTGCCAAGTTGATCCCATCCTTTAAGAAGGAACCAATACTGTGAAATTGAAGCTTGGGGATCTGGTCCCATTCACAATTGAGCAGAGTAGACCAAGGGATAATCATCACAGTCCTTTAGGTCAATCAAGTTTACATCTTCAAGCTGGAGAACTGATGCTTCAGGCTGGATACATGAAAGCACTTCTTCACACAGAATGAACATGGCCCTGGAACAAGGCTGCGTAAAAAGCATCTGAGAAATCTAAGTAGACTTCTCAGGTAGAGTGGATCAGCTGCTACAGAACAGTAGCCTCTCTACCACGCAGATATTACAGGACTAACAACAGTGCAACCGGATATAGGGATCGATTCAGTAAGGCATTATGTTGATTGTGGCTCAATCCTCTCTTCAAGCTCGCTCAATGGCCTTCAAGAGTCATGGACAAATGTTCCAAGTTTGTATGAATCGTCTACAATTTTTCTTCCTCTGGATTGTCACATCTTTTCAGAGAAGTGTTTGTATCAAAGGGAAATTGTGGTTAAAAGTTTGGATGAAAGGTGTAACAAGGGAGAATTCTCCCTAGAGTTGACTTGATGGGTCTGTGGGCCTTTCTTACTGCTCCTCTCTTATGCATCTACAATTTCACGTGAAATGGAATGAAGTTCAGTACTTTAAACACATTGTTTGCCAACCACGTTTGCCAAATAGTTTCCACAAAAATATTTCCACTTTACAACTACAATCTTTTATGCAAGTGTAATTTTTCCTCCAATTTTTTAAATCCTCGTTCATCATGTTATATTCCAAATTCTAAACCTTCTCCAATGTGAATATTATTGCAGTAAAAGTAAACACCAGAGAACTTATAAAATTCAAGAGTAAATTAGAGAGCTGTTTGGAAAAAATACAGTGAGAGGTATGGGAGGCGAAGGTTATGTGGGATTTTTTTAGACTTGTCAGATTAGCCACATGGACAGCCGTCATCTTTTTTTCAGCCCCGTAACACTTTTAAATTTTTATGTATAGAACTGCACCCAACGGTAAACTTCCACAAAACTGCAGCGAAGGAAGTCGTTAATAATAATAATAATAATAATAATCCTTGCATTTGATATAGCGCTTTTCACGTCGGGAGGACGTCCCAAAGCGCTTCACAGAACACACTGTAAAGTGAATTGACTGTATATTTGTGGGCGAACGCGGCAGCCAATTGCGCACAGCAATGTCCCACAAACAGTCGTAGATTGAAAATGACCAATTTATTATTGTTTTGGGTTTTTGAAGGGATTATTATTAGGCACTGTGTGGAGTAAGGAAACTTGCCCAAGGTTTCGCCCTCTGCCTGGAATTGAACTCAGGTCTCTCGCTTGCAAAGCGAGTGCTCTAACCACTGAGCTACAGGACTCCTATATAAGCATATATATATATATATATAAGCAGCGAGAGAGGCAATCTCAAATAAATTTCAACACAGAACACAGGTTGTCCACCGAAGGGTGGGGTGGGAGAGAACAGGAGAATGAGAAGCCATATCGCTGCAGGTGAGTGTGTGTGAGAGAGGGGTAATAATAATAATAATAATAATAATCCTAGCATTTGTTGTAGCGCTTTTTCGCGTCTTCTCGACGTCTCAAAGCGCTTCACAGAATAGACTGTAAAGTGAATTGACCGTATATTTGTGGGCGAAAGGCGGCAGCCGATTGCGCAGAGCAGCGTCTGCCCCACTAACAGTCGTGGGTTGAAGTGACCAATTTTATTGTTGGGGTTTCTTTTTGAGGGATTATTATCCGGGCCGTCGCAAGGGAGGGAAAAAGAGCCCCGACAGCAGGAACAGACAAGACATTTGGGCCATCCAGAGCACATTTTGTAGAATGTTCCAGAAAGTTCATTCGTGATGTTTGAGAAATATATATGTTATATGTTTTATATATATACACATATATATGTATATGTATGTGGTGTGTGTGTGTGTGCTGTAGATTGACGGTGTTACTGGGGAAGAAGCTCAGGGCAGGTACTGCCACACACCCCCGGAGACCAGCCCGTGGTGGGTGGGGTGACTGTTGCTGCCCAGTTCAAGCCGGTGCTGGGGGTCCGGGCCTCGCTCCCAGGGCACCATCGGCCGCGCTCCTCCTGGCGCCGCGCACCCGCTGACTGACTGACTGACTGACGTGTCGCCGCCGCCGCCGCTCGCCATTAACCGCCGCTCACAAGGCACACTCACGCTTTATCCACCAGCTCCCTCATCTTCCACATGTTCAGCATCCTGCCTCCCGCTCTGGCTTTCCGTGCGTGTGGTGAAGGCCGCGCCGCCTCTCCCGTCCGTCCGTTCCCCGCTGGCCCCTGAAGCCGCCTCGCCGCTGACCGACCGACCGACCGCACGGGTGGGTGAAACAAACAGGCCCGAGCCCCGCTGACCACCACGTCACCGCGTTACGACGCGCACTGTGCAGACACGTCAGCACGTCGCCCGTCGCCTTCCCAATGCGGAGGCCGGTGCCGCCGTGCGTTACCTGGGAGTTGTAGTCATTTTCCGATCAAGACGACCGGGCAGTGACTCAACGAGAACTACATCTCCCAGAGGCCCTCGGGAGGGGGGTCGCCTGTCCGCTGCCTTGCGTCACGGCGTCACTGGCGCCCGCTGCCTTCATCACAGGAGGGCGTGGGCTCAGTCTTCGCGATGGCTTCTGGGAGTTGTTGTTGTCTTTTTCTCGACAACTGCCCCGAGGCCACTGGGAAACTACATATCCCAGAAATCCCAGGGAGCACCTGTGGCTCAACACTGTTGCTCATAATAATAATAATAATAATAATAATAATAAGCTTTGCATTTTTTTTTAGTGCTTTATCATGTCAGAAGGACTCTCTTGGATTTCCCAAGCTTGCGCCTGATACTCAGCGAGGGGCATCCCTCCCAGGAGAGAGGGTATATTCCATTCCAGGCACGTGCTGCCATGTGGCCGAGGCACACGTAGATGGGATTATCAGTCTGGTTTGGATACTTTTAAGCATGAGTTGCGTCAGAGATGGAAAATCAAACAACTCCGCCCGATGATTTTTCTTGCCCTGACATTTCTTATGGGTTCAATACTATCTGCGCAGCGTTTAACTTAAATCATCCAACAATACAATACAATCCCTCGTTGGACATTTAACCAGCACTTGAAGAAATTGATGGACAACTTTAACTGTTTTAGATGGGAGTCAAAAATGGACAAATCCAACTAGGTCAAAAAATGGATATGGGGCCAGCAAGTAAAGTCTGGGCTGGTTGAGATATCAGCTCCAAACGCCATAAATTTTTACTACCTAAATAATTTGATTACGTGCCCTAGGAGTAAACAGAGTCAACCATAAATATCTTAATCATGAAATAGTTAAGAGTCCTAACAGTAAAGGCTTGTCTATCTTCCAGATTGAATACATGATACAAGAACAATGCGCAATGCAGCCAAACTCTAATCGAGTAATTCTGATCAAGGGTCACTCATTGGGACGTTGGTTTGGAAACATGATCTAGTTGACTAATGCTACCTTTTTAAAAGGAATAAAATATAATTTTGTTGTTTCATTTGCTTTAAATGGCTCTCCAGTCTGCTTTATGCTGCTATGCAAACATCAATCTTACTTTAATTTGTGGGCGAAACACGACAGCCTGTGCACAATTGAGACGTCTAGAACACATGATAAGGCGCTATATCAAATGCAAGGATTATTATTATAATAACTATTGTCAAATCACCAACTGACTTCAAGGTGACATGCTTGGCAATGGAATGTACAAACCAAGTAAGCTCTCCCTAATGGTTTCGGGTGTCTGGTACTTCAGCCAAACAGATCAAAACATCAAGCATGTCAAACATCAAGATGTTTTTAAATGTACTAAAAAGTTGATTCGGCTTCAATTAAATAAAATTGGACTGAGTGGTTGCATGCACTGGATTATACCATGTTTGCTCCAATTGAACAGAAACTGGGCATCTCCAAAATAGACCCGGTATCAAGTGCAGATGTTTATGCCTGTGCTTGTCGCTGTATTACTGTTTCTGTTTATTTATCTGGCTCCCAGTAATTGTTTCCAAGCAATAATTCCAAGCAATGATGTAATTGAGACTTGTGATTTGTCAATAAAAGCCAAGCCCTTGTCTTACCGCTCCCTGCTTCCACTGTGGTGGACTTTAACTATTTACCCAGTATATGATTTACACAAAATGCTTAGGGAAAAAAAAACAAATAAGCCTTAGGAACCCAGATGCTTTAGGTAACAGAGAGTATGCAAACCAGAGGCTTGAGAAACTTCCAATTACATTGGATTATTTAATGGAAAGAAAGCAATCTCTGGGAGTTTTGTATCAACAAAGCCTTCTTATGTCCTTACCTAATGCACAGGATTAAGGTTATTGGACTATTATTATTATTATTATTTATTATCATTGGGAACCTTGGCTGATTTTTCCCTCCCTAGCCCAAGGTAAAGGGTAGTAATAATGATATTGTCCTTGCATTTGATATAACGCTTTTTACATCTTCTAGTCATCTCAAAGTGCTTCACAGAATATACTGTAAAGTGAATTGACTGCTATTTGTGGGCCAAACACAGCAGCCAATTGCGCACAGAAGTGTCCCACAAACAGTCGTGGATTGAAGCGACCGATTTATTATTGTATTTTTTCTTGAGGGATTATTATCAGGCATGTGGAGTAACTTGCCTAAGGTTTCATCCTGCCTGAAATCGAACCCAGGTCTCTCACTTGCGAGGCGAGTGCTCTAACCACTGAGCTATAGGATTCCACAAAGTAAACTAAAGGCAAAAGTACCATCCCTGATGCCTGCATACTCCACTCCAGCAACTGAGAAGTTAGCTCACCAGCTCAGGATGTTCCCTCCCTGAATAACTCACTGAGAATCCCAATATTATTTGGGATCCCAAAGCCTTGCTAACCTGCGCATAAACTCAGGGATTTAGGTAAGAACAGCTATACATGATGTACTATAACAACAGTGACATCCTAGTTACTACAGTGATAACTTCAAAATTGCACCTATTGGCAATGTTTAGGTAAGGACACTATATTAAAATATTAAAAATGATTATATTAAAATTATTATTTGTATGCTTGACCCCATTGTCTGATGTTTCTGTAACTCCCCATCTAGTTTGCCTTTCTCTGATATAGCACTGTTTTTTCTTATTCTAATTCAGGAATATACAAGTTAATTAGGCAGGAGGCACAGGCACAGCGACTGGGAGGAACAAACAGCATCGGAAGTAAGGGGCAGGCATTGAGGGCATCTAGGATCAGTATAAATATTATCAGATATGCAGGATGACAGAAACCTATGACGCAGAGCATGGGAGAGATGATTTAAGTTGAGAGAATCATAGCAAGAGATCAGAGGTAGAAGAATCGGTAGAAGAAAAGGATGAGATGCATATTGATATTAAGAAAGCATCAATACAATTGTGAACTAAGTTCCCCAATCAGTTAAAATTATGCATCTTTATTCCATCCTGTGTAGAGGCACATACACACTCCAGCATCATGGTATCGATGCAGCAGGATTTCAAACTATGGAAAATGTAAAAAGAAACCACTATGCCCATTCATTATTGATTTGGTCAGTTAAGGCAGACAGCTGGCTTGTGAAGTGGTTAGGACTATTGGAGCAGTGGATTAGAAGTCACGAACTCGGTTTGAATCCAGCTCAGGCTACCCTCTTTGTTGGGTAGAAGGGCCTTGGATAAAGTAAGTTTGTGTATTCTCAATCTGTATTCGTGGACATGGACTCATAGCACAAAACTTACCCTTAATTAATCAGGCTGAAATTCCAGTACAGTACAGGGGGAGCATTGCATTTTTGGAGGTGTGATCCTTTGGATGAGATGCTAAATGGAGATCCTGTCTGCCAGGTCGATGTTAAAGATCCCTTGACGCTGTTCCAAAAGATAGGGGAGTGTCTCCCGGTGACCTGGATATCAATCCTTCAACTGAAATGATCATTCCCTTTATGGAGGTTAATAATAATACTTGCATTTGATATATTGCCTTTCATATTAGGAAGATATATCAAGGCGATTCACAGGATATTCTATAAAATATAGTGACCCTATATTTTGTTTGTGGATGCGCATCCAATTTGTGCCCAATGACAACTTGCATGTATATAGCGGCTCTCACGCAGGGTAGCATCCCAGAGCGCTTTGTACAACAATGTTCTACAAACAGCCATGAAGTGAATGATCAGTTTTATTTGGTGATTGTTAGCCAAGGCACTGAGAGAAACTCCCTTCTCTTTTCGAATAGTACCACTTCATTTTCTATAGTTATATATCTAATTGCTACACATCCTTCCCTTGTATATTCAGGTGGTCACCATCACACTCTTCTGTAAAAACAGAGACAACATAATAATACAGTGATTTTTTGTAGGTCCCCATGGTCCTGGACATCAATACTTCATGCAAATTGCTCATTCACCTTATGGCTGTTTGTGGGACCTTGCACTGGTAATGCTGCAAATTTGCTGATGCATTGATACAACTGCATCAGGGATGCAGTCAACTTGTCAGGATTACATTGCTGCAAATGATGTGTGTAATTGACTCCAATGGTCATAGAACTGAGAGATTATAATGGAATTTGTATTTGTGTACTTGATTAGAGTACATGACATGAGGCAATTGACCAACAACTGGAATTTGCACATATGTGACACCATTCGCACAGGGGAATATCTCAAAGTGCTTTACAAAGATGGTGTGGGAACGCATGCTGGAGGAAAACATAGTGGGAAGTACGGTTGAAGGCACAGTCAGAGATAGATCTTGAGACAACTTTGAAAGCAAATAGAGAGGAGACAAGGTAGAGGGAGAGAAGAGAGTTCCGGAGGACGGGGGCAAAGTGGCTGAAAGTTCATGCATCAGTGGAGGGCCTGGGTGGGAGGGGCATGAAGCAGACTAGAGTTGGCCAAGAGCTTATGGTCACAGGAGGCCGTGGAGACATTTGAAGATAAGCATCGGGAACATAAACCAGGAACATCCACTGGAGAATAGGAGCCAGGTGAGGATGGAAATGATGGGTTTCGGAGCCTCTTCAATATCTATAGGCTCCCATTTGGTGACATTATCTGCAGATATGGTGGCAACTTCCACATTTATGCGGATGACACCCAAATCTATCTCTCTGCCTCCATCCTCAACTTCAGGACCATTGCTGTGCTGAAGGATTGTTTGTCAGACATCAATTTCTGGCTGAGAGCTAACTTTTTCCAGCAGAAGAAGACCTAGGCCCTCCTGATTGGTTCCGGTCAGCACCTCCACACCTCAAGTCCTGACAGTATCACTATCCATGGATGCACATCACACTTCACTGAGCCAGTCCGGAACCTTAGCATCTTGTTTGACCCTCGACATCCATGCCATGACCCGCTCTGCCTTCCCTTAC